AATTTCAGTCTGGGGCGTGAGCGCGATTCAGGCTGATCCGACTTGTGTGAAAGTTAACCGAAAGCCCTACAGTTGTGGTGGTGGTCCTCATGATAGCTCCCCAGAGCGTCCCCTCATGAGCCTACGTCCTTCAGCCCACATCCCCATGCCGTTTCCACTGTGCCCGTGCAAGCATCGTTGTCATTAAAAGGTATAGGGAGAGGTTCTGGTCGGGCAGGCTCAAATTTTAGGAGACGTGCTTAATTCTTGCTGATTTTCACAGGCTGACAAGGCTGCCAGCCTCTAGACTAGGACATCCTCTGGGCTCAGACCTGCGGGTGGATGGGAAGCTGCTCGGGATGCACGCAAGACGTAGACCTCCCGGGGATGCTGGTGGCTGCTTGGGATGCACCCAACAGCTCTCGCTTGCAGGGGCGCTCTGGTAGCAAATTTGACTAACTGGGGGTGTTGGTCCACACTCTTGCACGCTCGTTTTAACTCAGTGGTTTCTCTTGTCACTCTTTGCAAGATGACTTGCCCCTCAAGGAGAGGAGCAGGCATAGGCAGCAGGCGAGCTAGCCCGTGGCAAGCACCTGAGCAATGTGCATCACTGACAAAGAGAAAGTTTGATCTATTTGCACCTCTGCTTCTCCAGGGAGGGCACTTCCCAGTTGTGCTGCCCCCCTCAACCGAGCACGGAGAGTTGTCTTTTAGCGTGTTTCTGTGCGTAAATCTAACGTTTCTCTTTTGAAACAACTTTTCTTTTGAAACAACGCTCGTGTCTTGCTAGCTTTGACCCTTTCCAGCAAAAGGCACCAACTGTAACAGGGACAGAGGGGTTATTTGGTGTAGGCAAAACATAAAGGCTTGTTTGGGGCTGGTTCGCCTACCCTTGATGCTTTTGATCAAAACAAGAGTTGTGGCAGATCATCAGCTCGGAGCCAGGTGTGAGAGCGGGGCTGATGTGGCACCTTGACAAACAGTGGTCCAGCTGAGGCACCTTGCATACATTAACACCAGTCCAAGCTGTCTGACTCCTGGAGGACTCTTAAGATCTGTATTTAAAAAAAAAAATAAAAATAGTTGTCTAGTGACTTTTGCCAAGCCTAACAGGCTATTTGTTTTTCTTTTTTACTGTTTTTCACATGCTCTGTTTTTGTTCTCTGCAGCTTCCAGGTGGCGGTCTCACTCGCTAGCAGAAGATATGCAGCCAGAACTATGGATTGCCCAGGAACTGCGGCGCATTGGAGATGAATTCAATGCCTCCTATTGTCCAAGAAGGGTAATTTTCAGATTTTTCTTTTCCATTTCTTTCTATGCAGCCTCTAGCAGGGAAAAGGATAATTGTGTCTGGAAACAAGTTCTTTAGCAAACATTTCATTCCCTCACATGCTTGGAGGGACGCGCAGGTGGTTGTGTTTGCTTGGGTGTAGGGGTACACTGCCTGTACTGTGGAGTCATTTGCTGTTAAAATGTCGTTAAAGCAGTTCAAAACAACCTTTAAATTGGGACTTGAGGCTTTCAGGTATAAAATTCACAATATTATTCATAGTATTGTGAGCCAGTAGAACATGTTCTATTGGTGGATTAGGACTGAACCTGAGAATAATGAGGAAGAACCTCCTAAAAGTTGTATATTTTGGTATATGTTTTGGAATGAGAAGAGCTCCCCTGGAAATGGTACCCTGCCGGGAGCCGGAGAGCCATCACGTGCGGGGACCAGGTGACAGGGTTTTCAGGGACACGGGCAGAGAGCTGATGCGGCAGGTTTCTGTGCTCACCAACCTGCCTGGCTCCTGAATTGCTGCTGCTGAAGATGATGTAGGTGGAAAACACAGTCGCAAATATGAAACTGGGTCTGATCACTGTTTTTTTTTTTTTTTTTTCTTACAAAGAATCTGAGAGTGCTGTTTTTAAGAGGTGTATTTGTAACACTCTAAACTTTTACCTTTGTGTTGCAACAGAAATAGGTGAGACTGACACCTCCTTCCCCCCCAAATCAATGCAAAAAGAAATGAGGCAACAATAGTTTCCAGAAAGAACAAAGTTAGCAAGTAACCCACCTGTCCTGCATTATTAATGGCTGCATGTTCATACATGTGGTTGCTAGTCCACCAGCTTGTCCTTTTGCTAGTCTGAGAGAAGTCAGAAGCATGTAATGTGCAAGCGTCAGTGATGGAAAGCTGACTGCCTGGATCTTTATCTGTCCTCCCCAAGTCATGAGTCACCCGTGCAGCTTATTTCCTCATCCTTTCACGGATTCATATGGCAATTGTCTTTCGGCCGAAGTTTCCCCCTAAATGAGGGCCAGGCTGTCTCGGGCTGACTCGTTCTGCACCGTGTCTTTCCGGATTGCCTTGCTTGCTGCTTTTCCATCTGGTCTGTTTTCTTTGTGAATACTCTCATTTTTCCCCCATGCTGGACGGGGCGTGTGTTTGCTAGGGCCATGCTACTGATGCAAGAAAAATCCTCAGCACTTTGTTTCGATCATCTTTATGAATGGCCCGAGCTGTTCTCCCCCCTCTCTCTGTGGCTTTCTTCCTCCTCTCTTGTTTGCACATGCTGGTACTGAGAAGCCTACTTGTTCCACTACGAGCCTGCATCTGTTGTGCAGCGGAAGATTTCCTTCAGGTGCGCTTTTGCCGAAAACTTGCTCTGCTGTCTGGCACAGCTTTTACTATAAGCTCTACTCCCTTCCTGGACACATTCTTCCAATACAGTCAGAAGCCCAACCTGTAACGAAGTGGTGATAAGCTGCATCTCATCCAGACCCTGGAGCACATCTCCCGAGCCCTCCAATCTAGCCTGATTCCTCTTGATGCAAAATACCCGATTATTTGCACAGCAAGCAGTCTTTTCGTTTAAAAGCAGAACATCTGTTCAATGAGAGACAGGGACTAAATCGTTTCTGCTAGCATTTGGAAGTCTGAGGGCGTCTGGTAGCGGCTAGCTGATTCAGAAGGGCTTGCAGAAATGCAGGCTGCTGGGTTTGTTGTTGTTGGTTTTTTTTCTCCTCTTCACCTATCCTCCTTGCTGGCTTCTGGAGTTGTGCTGCGAATTCTCTCCCAGCCCAACTGCAGAACATCGGAACGGGGGCTGCGCAGTTCAGCTATATATGATCTCTTGCTCTTGTTTTCTTGTCTTATCCTTGAACCAGCTGAAGTAAAGGTTTTCTTCCCCTTGAAATTGGGAACCTCCATGATGGGCTTGCTCTTGTTCTTCCTTAGTTGCCCTATCGCTCCTGCCCGTGTGGTCTGAGGGCTGGAGAAGCCAGTTGTGGAACACAATGTTTCTGCCGGTCTCTGATTCAAGCAGAAAGTAGCATCGGTCCCTGTTGGTTTAAATAGATGCTGATGAATTCTTGTCATCCGTTGTGTTCAGAAATAAGTGAGTTTCGGAGCATTTAAGCAATTGTTTTAGGATTATTGCTGCTGATGCACTTGCGTATTGCTTCCGGAATAGGTGTCTTCTCCTTCTGTGGACCGTCTTGCTATTTAGGAAAAAAGATCGTGTTTTCAGAGTAGGAGCCCTTCAGTGGAGCAGCGCCTGGGAAAGGATAGACTGTGAAGCTGTATTAACTTCACTCGCTTTGCGTGGCCAGCGCAAAGCGAGCGTAGGAGGCTCCATATAAGCCTGCCGCAGCCAATGGCTCTGCGGCTGGGGGTGCCGGGGCGCCACGCCGCCCCTCCTCGCGTGCTGGGTTTTGTTTCCCCTTGCCGCAGCTCTGCTTGTGAGCGGACGATTTTCGTGAAGAGGGGCCCGGCGCTCTGACTGCACTGGGGGCTCAGCTTGGTTTCTTTGGTCGCTCTGGTTTGCCCTTTAAGCTGTGTCGTAAGGCAAGAAATGGGGAACTAACAGCGGTGCCAAAATAGCACTTGCTAGACAAGTCGAAGCTGTCGGACAGGTCAGTGCAGCCGTGCCTAGCAGCGGCACTCACGTTCCTCCTTTTCCTTGCTGGGCGGCATGCCCAAAACCTCGAGGTGGCCCAGAGAGCGGCGTCCTCGATGGGCAGAAAGAAAGGGTCTAATGGGCATCAGTAAAGCTTTCCTGCCCCTGCGCCCAGTCTAGTTGCGATGATGCCTAGGCTGGCATCGCCGTGTCGGTACTCGTAGGAGGCTCCGGCTCCAGCTTTGCGGTCGAGTCCAGCTTAACTCGTGCCAAGGCTGCGTTGCTGCAGCCCTGCCTTCCTCCCCCCTTCCACCCCTTCCCATCTCCTCTCCGGCATGGTGCAAACGGGTGGCCACCAAGCGCTCTTCCTTGCCGGGTTTGTTTTCGGCAGGATTGGCTCCCTGAGCCGCTTTACCTTGCGGCTTCCCGGCTCCGAGTAGTTTTATGCAGCCCGTGGGGTTTACTCCCTGCATTTTAGCTGACTTGCTTTGGGTTATTTTTAACTTGCTGAGTAACTTAGAGCTCATCCCGTCACCTTGGGCAAGGCGGTGGCGTGCCAGCGCTTTGCTGGCTCACCCCTTCTCCGCTGCGGGCCTGAGCCGCCTGGCGAGGCAGAAAGTCCCTTCTCCTTTTTGCCTCCTCATTTGTTTCTACCACTTTATTAATAAACTTGGGCGCTTCTCCTCCGTGTCCTTTTTTCTAAGGGTCTTTTTGTTGTTGTTTCCCCCCCACCCCACCCCACCCTGCTCT